AAGAGGGGAAGATGGGGAATGTGATGTTCCCTGAACCAGATGATCCAGAGTGGTCCATTGGTTGGGTTGAGCCACATGGACCAGGTTTTAAAAGTGAGGATGATACTGGTTCTGGTGGTGGTGGGTTTGTGGTTCTTGTTCCTTGTTACAAGAAAGTGATGGATGGTTCAGGGAATCAGATTCCAACTAGCTTCCTCTCTCCTGCTCCTGGTAAAATCTTTGTTTCCATTTTCATATCATTAATATCAATTATGTGAATTTTATGTGCATGTTTTTAGTTGATCTCAGTAATTTGCAACTTTAAAATTTTATTGAAAGCTTATAGCTAAGTGAATTATTACACCATAATTGTTTGTGGTGTAGTAGTGTTTTTGGATTCTGAACTGAGATTGTGTGTTGTTCTGTTTGGAAATAAAATCTGAAGATAAGAAGAATATGGAACAGTGGCTGTCATCTATGGGGAAGCTGTAATAAGCTGGAGGATTGGGACGATCAAGACTATTTCTCTGATGTTTCTTTCTCAGTTTCAAAATTAAGAATCAAATAATCAAAAAAAAACAAGAAAAAAAAAGAAAGAAAAGATTGGGGGATAGATATTCTGGAGACTTCTTGTGGTGTTCTGTTTCAGGTGAGTGACAACAAAACATCAAGTCATCTCTCAAGAATCTACTACTAATGGACAAATGGTGATGGTGATGGAGACTTGGCAACAATGAATGAAGAACTGATATGATATATGATTTGTATTTTGGATATTTTTTTCATGTGGGGTGTGTTTGGAGTGAAGGCGTTTTCTGCTTCTGTGGTCGAGATTATTGGGCTAATTTGGAACAAACAAAGAAAAAATATTTTTCTTTTGTTCTTTTGTGGTTGATGACTTGATGGTGTGTAATAGTGTACATACATGTACATAAGTTTCTGTTTATATTTCTTCTTTCTTCAGTCACATGTCATGTGCTTACATTTGACAACACAATAACCCCTAGCGTTGTACACGTTATAATCATCTAAACAAAGTACACTCAAACATGTAAGCACATGCTTTTGATCAGAGAACAAAACTTCATTTCACTATTTCCCGTTGGAATCTTTTGGAAGTTGCAAATCCATGAGGCCGAGTAAATGATCCACGTTTACATCGGATGAGCTCTCAGCTTCTTGCTTCTCCTTTGCTTTATGTTTTCTTTCCTTATTTGAGTTATAGAACTCCATCTCATTCTGCCTCTCTTCAAGAACAGAGTTTATCTCATAATTTGGCCAACGAATACGTTACACGTACCTAACTAACAAAAGTACTATTAGTCATGAAGGCTACGTGGACTGTGGACAAATTGACAATTTTGAAACATAAAAGTTGGTAATGTGAGTTTTCTTGTTGCACTTTGGAAAACATATTATGAAATTTCTCCCAAACGGCCAACTCCATCAAGACCTTTTCCTACAAGGAAGTCACTTTGGACTATTCTATTCAAAACATTAATGGTCATGAATATTTATTGTTTCTAAATGCTTTTTTGGGCTTCTTGTTTTTTTTTATAATAGTTTTCAAGTTTTTAGTTTTCCATTTTAGACTATAATTTTTAAATTTGAGTTCTAAGATTATTTTTGTCTTTAGCTTTACTTTCTTGTTTGGTAATGAAAAAAACTAAAATAAAATATCTAAGTATTTAATTTTAAAAATACTTTTAAAATAATAATAACCTAAAACTTTTAGTGAGTTAAAAAATTATTAAGTAATAATTATCAATGAAACAATAACAAAGTCTTAGGAAGAGAACATGTTTTAGGTGAAAGCCAAGTGTTGACCAAAAATATGGTGAAAGCCAAGAAAGTTTTGTATTCTTCATAAATAATTGGCAATCTATAAATTTCCTAATTTTTAGAAGAAGAAAATAAAAAATCTTCCTATTAGAATCTTGAATGGGTCATGAAAATTAGTCTTTTGACCCCTTAAAACACTCCAAAATAAATATCATTCGAGGCTTATATTAATAATGTTCTTTCTTCTTCATCTATAAGTGTGAGTGAGGTCTTTAGTTTTCATCATTTTATTTTTCAAAGCTACGTTCTTTTGTGTAAGTAGATGGGTTGGTGGAAGAAGAAAAAGAAGTCACAAGCCATTGTTAAAGAACAGACATGGGACAGAGACCAATGGAGAGGAGAGAAGATTCTTGAAGCGCTAATCCAATGCTGTGATGGCAAACCTAATCCCATAAAATTCTTCACAGCAGATCAAATCCTCACAGCCACTCAAAAACATATATGCAAGTGTAGTATCCTTGAAAGACGTCAAAACATCTGCGAGTGTAGTCGTGTTTCCGAATTATATTATCATGGGAAATGGTATTCAGGTACGCTCGATGATAACCATCGCATGATTCTCCTTAGGAAAATGAAGGGAAGAAGTCCACATCCACCTAGAGACATCTGCTCTGGACCTCCTAAAGACGTAGCGATATCATCGATGGTTAGTGGTCACAAAAATTTCATGAAGCTGGTTGGGTGTTGTTTTGAGTTTGAGTATCCAGTCATAGTTTATTATGGTGGAGAGAGACAATATTCACCTGTAGATTTGAATAAGATAGTGTCATGGAGAAGGAGAATGAAGATAGCCGAGGAAGTTGCAACTGCTCTAGCTTATCTCCACGTTGCGTTCTCAAGACCATTTGTGTATAGGAACATGGGGTTACGGAATGTATTATTAGATCGATGAACATGGCGTTGCGAAGTTGAATGATTTGTCTTATTGTGTATCGATTCCAAAAGGAGAAACACGTGTCAAGCTTACGTGGGTAGGGAAAGACTATGATTACATGGATGATGATTATATATTTAATCGTGTAGTGTCGGAGAAAACTGATGTTTTCGGGTTTGGAGTTTTCATGCAAAAGCTTTTGACCGGTGAAGAAAAATTTGAGGAGCTTTGTGGTTGGAAGAATTGGAGAGAGAAGAATAAGTTTCCGAAGTGGTTGTCCACGTACATGGGAGAAGGAAGGATGAGTGAGATCGTAGATCCAAAGATGAGTAAATGTTTAGAGGAAGAAGAAGGGCGTTGTATGATGGAAGCTTTTCTTGTCCTTTCAGAAAGATGTATTGGTCTTAGAGGGGAAGTTCCTAAGATGGTGGAAGTGGCCAAGGAACTAAGAGCACCCACATTGATGAACCCCCCCTTGGGGGTTCATAGAAATAAAAAAATAATTTTTTTTTTTAATTTTTGTTTACTTTTTAAAAAATAAAAAATTTTTAAAAAAAATTAATTTTGGACCATTCATATGTTGACACGTGGTGAACCCGGGGTCATCGGGGTTCACCGCGGTGAACTTTTGAGAGAGGGGTTCATAGAAATCTGATTTTAATATTATTATTTTTTCTCGGTTTCCGTGTGAACTCCCCCCATCAACCCTTGATGGGGGTGCTCTAAGGAGATCACTTAAACAAAGGGGTGTAGATAAGTCATGAGAAATGTTGTGGAGATTTTGAGAATTACTAGATTTTAATATTTTTTGATATATAAGAATTTTTACTTTGATGTATGTAATCTTTTTTTTTTTAAGTGAGGACTAAAACTAATGTTTTATTGGATTGTGCTCAGACCAGTCATCATCATAGGTTTTGTTTATTGTCTGGTGAATAGCTTTCAAAGTTTGATCTAACTTTTAGGTATCTTGTTATAAGAGGAGACTTTTTAGTCAATGAACAATGACGAAGAAAGAAGAAATATGTGTTTGGAATCATAATTTAGTCATTTTCTGAATTAAAGGACGTTAGAGCATCCCCATTAGGGGTTCACAAGGAGTTTAAGGGGGGAGTATCACACGGTTTTTGAGATAAAAATGGTGAATCCATTTTATTAGAGTCCGCCGTGGTGAGCCCAGTTCGTCACGAGATCGCCACGTGTCAGACCCTAATTCGTCTATTTTTTTTTTAAAGTCAAAAAAAAATTTAAAAACCTATCCTAGGAACTTGTGCCCATCAATTTCACTGATGGGCATGCTCTTATATTTTTCATCAAGGAGAAGAAAATCTTGCCGACATGTTAACGTGTAACATCATAACTCATAAGCATGCATTGCTGTCCAATGTAGGTCGAGGTTGCATAAGTTTTCAAGAACCTCGTATCTATGTTCTCACTAGTTATCTAAAAATAAATAATGATTCCCAAATTTAGTTGTCTTTTGAAGGTTTTATTTTCATTTTTGTTAGTTTTGATCATTTTAGTTTACACATGAAAAACGGCTGTTTTCTGAATAAAAGGACATTATATTTGAATGATTATTTCTGCGCCCATGTCTGTTTGTTTTGCTTTCTGATGACTAAACCAGTGAGATTATATATATATATTCTATTTTCCACCATTTCCTAATACATTTAAGTATTCAGATTACAAAGTTGTGAGTAGATTAATCATCCAAACTTCAAAAGTGACTACAGCTTTCACATGAACAGAGATAACCAAAAGGTTGAAGACCCATAAGCTGAGACTAGAGGCCAATTATACATACAACATATTCTCTTTGGAGATTTTTACAAAGGAGAATATGAAGCAAAATTCACAGGCAATAAAGAGAAGGTAACACTTTTGTTGTTGATGATTTCACCAAGATTCATGCTTCATTCCATTAGTAGTTGTCTATGCCGAGTGAGTTCGTCAAGGTACGAGGAAGAGGTATGATCTTGCAAGTCACACCCGTCGAGACTCACTGTTCTTGTTCCACCTTGCGGCTCAGCTAACCGGTCATCCCCACGCAATAGCTGCACCAACTGCATCCAAAACCAACCCAATTCATAAGTTTTTTATTAGATGTAATATTAATGTGACTTGTTTGTCTTTGGAAATGGAACCTACCCGGTTCATATCAGGACGCATAGTGGCTACATGGTGTATGCACATTGAAGCTGTTTGCATTACCCTTTTCATCTCGGTTTCATTAAAGTCATTTCCTAGCTTAGGATCAATTATTTCTTCCACGCTGCTCTTCTCAAGAAGCGGTTTCGCCTTGCAAAAGAAGCATCCAAGATGTTTAACTCTTGGAAACTACGTACAAAGAGAAAAAGAAGAAGAGAAGTTTGAGATCATTACCCACATCACAATGCTTTGTCTACTATCTGTATCAACAGCTCGACGACCAGTTATAATCTCTAGAAGCAATACACCAAACGCAAACACATCTGTCTTCTCATCAACAATCCCATGCATAAAGTACTCTGGAGCTAGATATCTGTAAGAGAAACAAAGAACCCAAACTTGGTTAAGATTTAAACATCAAGAAGAGATTTTTTCTATTTGTGAAAGTCTTTGACTGACCCGAATGTGCCTTCTATAGGGAAAACAATGTGATGAGGACAATTCTCTGGGAGCCACTTAGCAAGTCCAAAATCAGATATCTACCAAAACCATTTTCATATTAGATTCAGCTAAATTAGTTTTTGATTCTTGAATTAATCAAGAAAAGTACCTGAGCTTCATAATCTTCACTTAACAAAATGTTGGAAGCTTTAATGTCACGGTGAATAATTCTTCTAGGACAATCATTATGAAGATAACTCAAACCATCAGCTACACCCAAAGCCACGTTATACCGTTTCCTCCAATCCAAACACTCCTCCTCAGACCCTACAAAAGTTTTAAAAAACATAAACACAAACAACAAACAATGTCTTAAAAGCATTTTCATTCTAGTAGAGAGTGTACCAAAGAGTAGAGAAGCGAGACTGCCGTGAGGAGCATACTCAAGCACAAAATGCAAACCGCGATCGCTGCTGAAACCGCGAAGCCTAGCTGCGTTTGGGTGGTTAACGTGTGCGATCATCCCTAACTCAGACAAGAAGTCACTGACTCGTTGTTGTTCTTCCATAGCGTGTCTCATCAGCTTCTTGATCGCCACCGTCTCTCCGTCAGGTAAAACTCCTTTATACACCTCAGCATGTCCTCCCTTTCCAATCATATTCTCTAACAACAAAAAGTACAACAAATCAAGACCCATGCTAGGAGACACAAGGACCGAACTAATGCATCCTAGGAAAACAATATAAAACAAATTTGTTCTTTCTTAAATTTGACAAAGAAAAAAAAAACTTTCAACAGTTCTATAATTTTATTAAATGCATATTATTATACATTTTTTTTTTAAAAAATAGTTTAAATAAATATAGGTATTGAATGGTGACCAAAAGAATTAAGAAAAACACTACATTCCTCAATATTCTTAAATTTTTATTATCATTTATAAGGAATATTTTTTTTCCTTTCCATTCATTGTCATTCTTTTTATTGTAAAATAATATAAAACAAATTTGTACTTCCTTAAATTTGACATAAGAATAAAAAACTTTCAACAGTTCTATAATTTTATTCTTATTCAGTTTTTTTACTATCTGCTCATGGTGTTTTCTGTGATGGTTACCGGTTACACTCCTATAACCTCTAAATATTTTACAAAAAATTATTAAATTTCTTAGTAATGTTTATAGCTTTCAAAATCTAATAACAGAACCTTACCGGGATTAAAACTGTCGGTAGCGGCGACAAGCTCTTCGTAAGTGAAATTCCTCCACGAGGGTTTAACGACGAGGAGCTGATCGCAGTCAACGGGAGACGACGACAGAGACAACTTAGGTTGTTTCCTGCGCATGTTTTTCTTCGTGAGCTCGTAGCTAGCGAGGAGAGGAATAACAGAGAATCTCCTTATTGACTTCTTCTTGATGGAGTCGATCATCTTGTTCCATTGACGACCGTGGTGTTGAAAAGACGAAACGTTCGGAGGAGTTGTAGATAACGGTGAAGATGATTTGTCAGGCGAACATGAGCTACAACTGCTGCTGTTGTCGGAGTCTGATGAGCCCGTTGATGGGATTTCAAGAACGCATCTCGGTGATGGATTGTCGATAGTTAACTCGTTGTTGTTCTCTGTCTTTTCATTGGTTCCTTTAGTCTTCTTCTTCTTCTTCTTCTCCATCTCTGTGCATTAACATGTTTGTGTTGATTTTTCATTTCAAGATAAAACAGAAACACAAATTTACTTTAGCCTTACCTTCAACAGCCATGACCTTTCCTCTGGGATATTCTATGCAGCTTTGAATAATATTGATAATATATTAATAATAATAGTAATAATAATAATAATAATAATAATTCAAAGCTTCATGAGAGTTTCTCCCAGGAAACGAAAAGAAGACAAAAGAGGGGAGAAGAGTAACATCTCCGTGAGGAGAAGGAAGCGGGAGAAACAGGAAAAACAGAGGGTTTGCTTTCTCGTCTAATGTAAATTTTGAACCGTTGTTTTTTTTTTTCTTTTTTGCTTCTTGTCTATGTTAGAAAGTTTTATCTTTAGAAATGTTTATTCTTAGAAGATTTAGAAAGTGGAAGAAGAAGAAAAGGATGAAAGAACCAGGTTCTTTTATGACTGGTAATGGATTGGAATCTATGCTATATTTATACAGGTCCAACGCATGCATGCAAGTCAAAGAGTTCTGTTTCACTTTTTACAAAAGATAAAGAGTTCCGTAACTGACGCTATCCGATGAACGGACACGCCGACGGTTGACATATATTTCTGGAGTTGGTCAATGGTATTTTCCGTAATTACACTCAATGAGAAGACAAGACATCCTCTGTGTTTTAAATAACTATCTTCAACCCAACCTAACTCTACTTTTTACTTCAAAATTAAATAAAAATGATTTATATTCTAGTTTCATTTCATTTTTTATTCCATAAATGAAGTAATTTACTTTTGTTTATTTATTACATTAAGTTATAAATAGAATGTTACGAGCATTTTTACTCCATAATTCAGTTTACTCTATTTTTTTTTTAAAAAAGGAATTTTACATTAGAAGTAGTTTTTTTATTTAATCGAATTACAAGATTCGCCATTTTGAAAATCCTATGCCAAAGAAAAAAGAAAAGAATTGCCATTTTGATATTAGGCATGTGAAGTACTGGCATCTTGTTTTTTTCTTACTCGTCCAACAATTTTTCATGTTAATTCAACCTAAACAACAGAAAAATATATATACATCGTGTGGCGCCACAGTAGAGACTTGTATGAAACGTAAGAAGCCGGACCACCCTAGAACTTATTTTGTATATTTAACCGGTGACTTTCCAACTCAACTTTTTGATTTTACATCACTAAATCAAGATGAACGACATTCATGAGAGTGTTTTTGTTTGACGACACGACAGTCACGAGTCATCATGGAGCTTAGTTAAAAGACGTTTATGCGAAACACATCAGGCGCGACATTATTGGACCCACCATGTCAAGCTCTAACTTAAGTGCATCCGGTAAAATAAAAAATAGTTATCAGTATAGCTTACGTGTACTGATACGATCATGTTTATAAACATAAATGTCAAACTTTCTACATGTGTGGGTTAAGTACATATCATCGGAGAAACAAATTCATAATCTAGACAAGCACATATTAAAATAATAAGTGAAGTTGTTGCGAGGAAATGATATTTTTTTGTAGTCTTATGGTGAAATGCGAATTGGTTAAGGCAACAACACTACATTCGAAATGAAAGTTATTAGTTAATTGGTAATTTCAGTGAGAAGATGTGTTATGCAGAGTGGGTGAACCAAACCCTTAGAATCTCCTAATCTAATCTTATTTCTCCATTGGACCCCAAAGTCTAAATCAAAATGGCCACCAAACTCACCAATGTCAAGTTCTGCCTGAGAAGTCAGTCTAACTAATCTCGTTGTCAATTAACCAAGTCGTAAACACACTCTTCTGCTTCAATCCAAAATTCAGTTAGTTTTTTTTCTTCTTGAATTTTGGTTAGAAATGATTTTATTACTGTATACTATAACTGATTAATACTAGTAATTAAATCAAAGCAAAACCAAGCAACATGCGTTAATTCTAGTTTTTTCAAATAGGGAAGTGATACGTGTGTTTTATATATAAGCTTATATTTATATAACTGTTTATCTTCATTGATTGCTAGAGATAATCACTTAAGCCAACAAGAGATTAGAGAATAGTATTAAGTAAAATGTATACATGTCATGTATATAATATCTAACCGAACCACAAAGATAATGGATGTTGACATATAATCTCTACGTCTACATGGAAAATAGTTATACCCATCAGTGGAAAAGCCTAACAAGATCTTCGGCCTTCTGCTTAAACATTACATCTTATACTTTTAAGCAACAAATTGTTGGTAATAAAGAAGTAGTGACCTTTCACCGTACTACCACTCCCGAGTTGTGTAAAAGATTCTCCGATGATGGCATGATGCAATCATGCAAACACAGATAAATAGAAGGGTAGAAATATTGTCGGACGGTTTATTTCAGAAAAACCCAAATTCTCTTAATAGGCCTTCTCCAGTTTAACAGATTAATGGGCTTAAAATGATCTCAAATGGGTCAGCTACTGCCTAAATGGGCCTTAATGCATTTTTTTATTATTCCGACACTTGACTGACACATAAATGGTCGGAGGAAAAATGCATCGTGATGAGAAGAAATGGTCACGGCGGAGTGATCGCCTTCTCTAGAATTTCAAGCTTCTTCGGTACAAGAGACAGTTCAACGAACCCTATTTTAATATTCAATCTAGGCTTCTCTGCATCACAAGTAACTCACTCCTTAACAAGGCCATTCATATGAACTGTGGAATTGAGCCCCATATTTTCTGTATTGATTATTAGTTGTTACTCTTGTGTATATAAATGAAATAATGACAATTTTACAATTTAACAAAATTAGAAAAGGTTCAAATGTTTCTATTTTAAATTGATGAGCATATAGTTTATGATTAATTTTCTCATAGAACAAGTAATAAATATTTAATTTTCATTTAAGCATGATTCAATTTTCATTTTGAGCATTTGAAAGGAAAATGAAGCTATAGTGAGTTGTTAATTTCTTTAGTTGTTGATACTTACGAATCAAATCGAAATAAAGTTTTACATAAACCTTTTGAATCTAATAGTTTGGAAGTTTACTGTGCTGCTATATATATATATATAACTCCAAAAAATAAACGTCAGAAATGATATAATTTCAGTTTAAAAAAAACGAAATAATTTCGGTAACGACAAAATAAAAGGTAAAGATGTGAAAAACAAATTGTTTAAAAATGTAAATAAAAACATGTAACTTGTTTTCTGTTGGAAGCTTTCTCTTCTTTCGTTCTTTTTTTTTTCTCTCATCATTATCAAAAGACGTTACGCTGTGATGAGGTTATGACAAATTTCATATTTGTGCTTAGGTTCGACGTACGGCCTCACACATGTACAAACTTCATACTATCTCCTCTTCGCAATTAGTTTATTTGGGTTCTTGTGACAAAGCCGTGAATATAGCGACATATTAAATTTAATCATATTGCATGATATAAGCAGTTACATCACTTGTATTCACATTCCTCATGCTCTTCACTACCTATCCGTTTCAATAAATTATCACAACATACTTCTAACGTATTTTATTTAACGTTATTTATTTTTTATAAATGACATTATAAATAGCTTATTATTTGGCTTAGTTAATGTACATGGTCTTGACCAAAAGCAAAAAAAAGGTTTGTTCTTGATTTATATTAGACCATCTCCAATGGGGGTTCTATCCCATTGGAGTTCTAAAACCATATATGTGTGTATGTATGTATTATATATATGTATGTAATTGTAGGGTTCATTAAATAGTGTAGAACCTTACTCAAAAGTTCTAAAAAGTTCTATTTTTAGAACTTTTGGATAGGGTTCTACACTATTTAATGGACCCTATAATTACATACATATATATAATACATACATACACACATATTTGATTTTAGAACTCCAATGGGATAGAACCCCCATTGGAGATGGTCTTAGCTTTTACGCTGGTTAAAAGAGATGATAAAGAAAACGAAAACGAAAACAAAAGGTTAAGATATCCAAAAGACAATGATCTTGTAAAGCAAATTTACTAATGATCAATCATAAAAAGCTTAGAATGAGATTGTAGTATGCAAAAGTGCCAACATCGCCTTTTTGTTTGGGAGAAACCAACATCACTTTTAAGTGATCAGAACCTAAAAACATTAATTCTTGTTGATGTGTGTGTATTTACACACAAATAAATGATATAGTATAAAATAATAGGAAGAAACAAATCACTCTTGTGTTTAAAAAAAAATCTTCTGCTTTGTGATTACCGTATCTTTGTCTCTATAACATTTATGAGTGAGCTTATATATACATATCTATAGTCTTGTCTAAGTGAAAAAAAATTGTCTAGTTAATCTTTTTTTCTGATCAAAAGTTGACAAAAATAATTGTTGACAAATAAGTGAAAAAAATTTGTCTAGTTAATCTTTTTTCTGATCAAAAGTTGACAAAAATAATTGTTGACAAATAAGTGAAAAAAATTTGTCTAGTTAATCTAAATCGTAATAAGAATTGTTGACAAAAAAATTCGTAATAATATTTTCTTAAGAATATTATCTTAGCACATTTATTATTCGGTTATTTGTAATTGTTGTGACAAGACATATAGTTACCTTTTTCTTTTACAAAAAAATATCTAAGACATATACATTATTTATGTATGTTTATGTATATATATATGTAAATGTATGTGTAGCGAGAAGCTAAAGGATGGAGATAAAGAGAGACTGCAAAAGAAGGCTAATGCCTGATCTCTATGTTTCTCGTAGACTCGACATAGTTCAGTGTCTTCTAAGATGCTATATGCTCGTACTTACATTATTTAGACCAGACTTCACTGACAAGGTTTTCTTGTAACATCAGTCTATATTTTCAATTTACAGTACAAATATCGATGTTGTAACGAATATTACACTGTATTTAATTATTGAGATTTTACGTTAGGGTATTACAGTTGATGTGGATGGGCAATTATTTTGCTTCGCTTAACTTGGGTGTAGTCTCGGTTACCTTAAAACCCCAAGTAAAATAAAAATTACGTTTAGATATATATATATATATATATATATATATATTTGAATTAGTATAATTAACCTTGGGATACACCAATTATTCATTAATTGAGCATTTCACGACCAAATCAAGTCCACGAGCCTTTCAATAATTAAGCTTTAAGTACAGTAAATTCTGTTTCGAATTTACCCAACATATAAATAATTAAAAGTACATACTAATCTAATATTTAGAGAATCTATAATAGTACTCTCTCCATTCTTGAATTTTGTTTGTTTACAAATTTGAAACTTACAATGCTAAAAAGCCTAGCTAAAATAGTAACTTATACAACAACAAAAACAACAACAAAGAACGCCCAAGTAAAACAAAACTCCAATCATAAATAATTTTGACCTTACATGACAAACAAACATAATTTCAAATATTGATCATATAAATATAGTTTCTTATAACTTAGCAAGAATCATGGTACGGCATTAATCATAATGATTAAGATCAGTCCAAGCTTGAATTCCATTGTTCCATTGATCCCTTCCTCCTGTGTTACTATTCACCCTCTCGCTATCGTTATTATTACCAAAGTACCACTCTGTCTGATTCTCTCCTTTCTTCGCCGTCGGCGACGGTGATGAGCTCACGGTCTCTAGATTCCGGTAAAGAAGCGGTTGTGGCCTCTCCACAACAACAGTCTCTTCTTTAGAGTTTCCAAAAAACATAGCCATCCTCTGTTGCTGAAGCCTCCAGTGTAAATCTTGGTTTAAACAACTCAACGTTTCTATCGAAGTAGCTAAGTTCTCGTCGGTTGTGAAACTCGCCGGTGCATGGTTATTGTTGTTGTAATCTCCAAAACCCATTAAGGACAAACCTGATCCGACATCAACTGGTGTTGTTGTCGTCCTAACTTCTTGATTATTCATAAGTTGAAGATCGTTTATCTTGTTGAGAGATAGCCCCGCGAGCTGAAAGTCCATTGATGTTGGAGGAGGGAAGAATTTGGATTCATCTTCCATGGTGGAAGAGAAAAATCTATGTGATGAAGAAGAAGGAGCTATTATGTTAGGTTTTATTGATTTTTTGGTTTTCCGACAACCACCACCGATGGGGACGTTTCTTAAGGAACCGCCACGTGTCCAGTAACGGCGGCAAGCTTTGCAGAAGTGACGAGGTTGAGAGAGGCTGTAGTTGTTGTAGTAACAGAACTTTGTGTTTGGGGAGTTGCATCGAGGGCATTTTAGGGTTTGTTGGTCTTGAGAGGCGGAGGAGGACGGTGGTTTTTTGGTTTGGGATGTACCGGAGATACGGTGATCCGGTTTAGGTGAGTGGAGATTGGTATGGGAGGACATGATGATTGATGGGACGAGAGAACAAAAGGAAGAAGAAAAGTAGGAGGAGAGCGAGAGAGATTGAGGAACACACTCGGTAAAAGGGTTTCGTCTGGTGCGTAATTTATAGTATATAGATGATTTTGTATATGTATGTTTTCTAAATGTTTGTATGGCATGCTTATTTATAGATATGGAGTAAACTAAAAGTGGCTTTGTCTTCAAAAAGTTGGAGACAAATGTAATTTTGTTCATGAAACTTAATCACTTTAATTCTTTGTCTCGGCAAATTACTTAAGTACTCCCTTTGTTTCACTTTAGATGATGTTTTAAGATTTTTTTATCTTCAGTTTAGTTGATGTTTTTACATTTCTATGCAAATAGTTAAATATAATTTGATGTTTGTATTCTGAAGTATATTTTTCGAAATGTAGTTATTGTTGTTTTTATACAAACGAAATAGATTGAATAAAAGTTAGCAATTTCTTAATTGGTGTAGAAAACTTTAAAAGACTATTATTTTGAAACATATGGAATATTTGTTTTTGCGTTTGTAATAATATTTGTATCTATACAGTATTAAAAGAGTGGGTTTATACAAAATAAAACTTTAATATCTAGACTCTTATCATTGGTTTTAAGATATTAAATGCAAAGAAAAAAATTCTATCTAATTACAAAAACTTAATGGTACAAATTATTATGAACATATATATGATGTTAACAAAATAAAAATACTTGTATCATAGTATATAATAATATGTATATAATTCAATATTTATGTATTAACAACTAAACTAGAAAGTTGGTGTTAGATGTAAAAGATGTTATATGTAATTCCTTTGTTGGCAAAACAAAATAATACTCTTGCATAATCGATACATCAACAATTAATATATAACATGTTTTAATGAAACGCCTTTTTTAACTTTGTCGACCATAAAATATGTTATATATATCTACTACTATGTTGTCAATACTCTTGTGTAATCGTAAACCGGCATTGTAGTAGACTTGTATACTCGTAATTCGTAAACCGCCAATTTGCAAAACTGTCGTGTTGTTTTATTACATTCGATAAATTCATCATGAATTAATTTTCTTTGTAGGTATGGTCTTTGTAATTGTATACGTAGGGAGAAGGATGAGTGAGAGATAATAGAGACAAAATAAGAATATGAGAGAGAGACATGAAGTGGCAGAAAACAGAGAAGAACATATATAACTGCGCAATTGATCGGAACAAATCGGATAGAATTTGTTATGTGTCGTGTTATGTTGTTGAGGTAACGTTTTTCCAATGTGTGAAGTATGCACTGCACCAATCTTTATACGTAAGCTATTTTTAATACATACATGCAGCCAGTTATTTTTATTCTAGCTGTCAGCTGTATGGAACTGTATTAAGAAAACCAAAACGATTGGAACACTTGACCAAAAAAAAAAAAAGACGATTGAAACAAACTATTTCTATGTCTTTATTGTCGTAGTTAACAAATAAAATTTGTTATTGTCAAGAAGCTGAGAATACATATATTATCTTGTAGATTTCAATATAGGAGATAAAAATTTGATATCTATGAGTTCAAGTTTAAACATTGTTTTTTTTTTAAGTTTATACTCTCTTCACTTCTTAATGGATGAAATTTTGGCTCTTTACACACATAAAGAAATAAAAAAAGTGTATTGATAATATAATTTAATACTAATTTATTTAATTATAAATAGTAAAAACTTAATTAATTACATAATTTTTGATAAAGTTAAAATTATCTAGATATGTAAAAACTTCATCTATATGAAATAACAACAATCACCTTAATCATCACATATATTAAAACAGTAGGGGTAGTTTGAAAGGAAAAAGTGAGAGAGAAACAAGTAGGGTTTACAAGTAGAGAAACATTAATTAACTTTCTCACTTTTTCTATAAGGTTTTTCCTTTAAATTTGACCATTAATTCCTATAAGGTTTTTCCGACATATTTCATTACCCCTTTTTCTCTTTCTTTTGTAACGCTAATATATATGATTGGTTAAATTATCAGTTAAAAACTTGCAATATTTGACATTTGCTGTAGGTGAGATGCATCATAATTAGATTCCATTGGGTTTTAATTTACGTATTAAATTCCGATTACACAGTTATCGAGGCAATGTACTCAATACAGACATACAATATTTAATATATATATATATACATATATTAAAAATAATACGTCCAAAAATAGAAAAAGAGAAGATTGTGTTTCGATGATTGATTAAACGTCTACATCTGTGAAGAAACACGAGAGAACGGAGAAGAAGAAATGGGAAACATGTGAGAGCTTCAAGAATGGATCTCTCGTGAGACTGAACCGATCATCCTCTCTGATACATACAGCTTACACCCATTTTTTGTTTTGAACTGATAATAAATCCAAACCATCTACCGCAATTGCAAATGAGAATCCTACATGCCCGGTTAAACTTTTGAACTATTCTTCATATGCATATCCATTAGCCATTTTTCATAATATCAAATCTACTGCTGAATTAATCTACAAGGAGCAAAACTAAGTAGAGATTAATTATTAGATGTTCTAACAATCTATACTACTCCATATATAACCCTATATATATATCGACTAATCACTTGACGAAAAACGCATTTGCTTCACAAAATGATATATAAGTATGTATATATATTTTTTAAGTTAATAGTTATAGGTCTTTGCCTATAAATTAAAACTAGATCATAACCCGCCCGATTGGGCAGATCTTTGTTTTATGGTATATATAAACATTTCAAAAATTACAATCTATTGGTTCTAATTTTACTAAGTAATAATATAACGTTTAAATATTGTATTTTATCATTGTATTGTGTAACAGGGGCGTCGGTAAAATGTGTGATCTGTAAACATTTTAGTAATAGTTTATAAAGTTATTTTTGGCTAATTTTGGTGCAAAGTTATATACACTAAACAATTTAGTCAATTTTTTAAGTTAATTTTTTAATGAAGAATTGGAAGGCTAATATATCACTATTAAAAACTTATAACAATAGTCAATATAAATTATATAAATAAAATATATATTATTTTTGATTTATTCTAAATACATTTAAAACATGAGTACGTATATGCATAAATATTTTTCAGATATAAAGTAATATTAATGATAGAAAAACCCAAAAATAATAATAATGATATCTTAGACCGCAATAATCTTTAATTTAATAAATAAACCCATCAGATTTGATGTTATCCATGTTTCCAATCAAACTTTAAAAAATTTCTTATAGATGTTTCCAAACACTTCATTTTTGTACTTCAGCTTTAATAGTATAGATAAATTGATACAAAACGAGTTTTTCGTTAACAAATTATATTTCTCTACACAAAGAAATTAGGGATGCACTAATATTTAACACCTGAATTTCCTTTATTTGATATCAGTAAACACTGTGGATTCATGGAAGGTTGATTCAAGGATTTTAGGTACGGAAAATGATAATTGAAAGTCCATTTCGAGAAAATAATTTTTGAACGATCCATTTGAGAAATTTTAACAGACTAAATTTGTTAATACATAGTTCTCTGTATTATCGAATTGGTTGAAGCGAGAAAGAGACGTGACACACAAAAAATGACTTAAGGTAAAAGACGCAGTTTCATCAAAGATTGGTCAAATGTCATATCGTTATCAAACGTTGTAGAAGCATATACCACCTGATTTACCCGCCCTGTTCCATTTATTCCAGCCGTAATTTGACCTTACTTTTCATTAACTGTTCCACATTTATTTATTTTTGTCAACAACTGTTCCACATGTATTTAAATTTTATATGAGCTCGGTCAGAGATGATTTAGATTAATTATATACAGGGGTCTAGAAACAGAAAAACAAAAATCAGAATAATATGGCAAACATGTGAAGCTAATGACGAGAAATGTACGGACCGAGAGATGAGCTTAGTAGAGGCCCTTTAATTTTAAATCGACTATTGGGCTTATCATGCTTCAACGCGCAAACCAGATATTTATGGGCCTCCACGAAACAAAACAATCAGGTTCATATGTGGAATCCTTTGTCGTATTTAAAGCAGGACACAGAGGAAATCCCCTTAGTCAAATAGTTTAAAATAGTTTGATGAAGTGTTCATTAATAATTCTATACCAAAATGTTATATTTCATTTGTTAGAAACGAAATTATGCAAATCAATCGAGAAAAAACTTACAAAAGATTTGCAGCATGACACAAAACTACTACGATCAACATGAATCATATACAATGACTCAGATGGTATAGTAAGACGTGATTCCCATAAGATATATAGAACACTGACTGTAAAATCAGTTTATAATATTTTCATAGTTTGTAATAACATAACTATCTAACGTTAAAAAAAAAAAAATTAGAACATACTATCCTTATCACAACTTGAATCAACTGTGAGTTCGGTGGTGGTGGGTTTTCTCCTCCGGTTTACATCCGCCATTACCACATTGAAGCCGTGACTTGTTCCCTTTCACTGTAAGGCTCCTCCTCTCTATGCCTTTGTGTTTGGGGTTCGATAGTTCTTGTCGTTCCTTGTGGACCTATGTTGCAATTGCCTTGGACTACTCTTTTGCGTTTGTGAATTTGGGATTGGTGATTGCTGTGACTGAAGCGGTTTGACGCAAGTGTTGACCTCTGTTTTGTGTCTTGGCGCTGCACTCCTTGCTTGTGGTCGGAGACTTGTTCTCCTTGGGGCGGTGTTCACTCAGGTTCGGTTGTTGGGTTCAGCATTGTTCAACTCCAGTCTCTGTTATTGCTCGCTCTGTGGAGTCTTGTCTAATGCTGCTGACCTTGGGTAGGTTCTTGGAATCCTAACTATCTTCTGGGGGTTAAGCATCTGTTTCCTGCAATTGTTTTGGTCTTCATATCCCTTTTCCTCGCTTATTGTTGTAGCTTGTGGTTATGCTTTGGTCTTTATGCTTGTTGTCTGTGTTTAGTTTTAAATTCTGCAATTCTCTTCTTTGTTTCTATGTTGTTAT